CCGCTCTTTCCCACGCGCCGGCCCTGCTGGCCAGCCCTCCTGTGGATGCCTGACTCGTAGTCATATGGGAATTGAAGCTCCTTCCCTCTTCTGGAAATCCCAGCCCAGCCTTAGAAACGTGAATCTGGGGCTCTGAGAGGAAGGGAAGTGGTGTGGCTGGGGCCTCCTGAGAGCCCCACACATGGAAGGGACTGGCGGGCCCAGCTGCTGTAGGTGGCGGGGAAGGATCTCATTCTCCAGCCTTGCTGCCCCTGCAGTCCCAGCCGTGGCAGGCTCTTTTCTTTTTTGTGCCTCTCTTAGTTCCACAGAGGGTTTGCAGTGTCATGGGCCAGGCCTGGCCACACAGAGAGCTGTCCTTCTAGGGGCAGCCAGGGCTCTGCAGGCCCCAATTTGAGACTTTCCCCATCTTGTTTAGAAAGGGAAAGATGCCCATGAGAAGGAACTTTGAGTCCCCATTTTGTGCCTTCTCTTGTGTAGTAAAAATAGCTGTGGTATAGGAAGAGCTGAGAGCCAAGGCCAAGCACCCCCGGCTGGCTTAGGTGCAGGACTTGCCCACAGCCAGGAGATGAAGAGATCCCTTTTTTACCCTCTGACGTTGGGAAAACAGCCCAGCCGCATGTTTCCTCCAAGGTTCGCTGTTTGTGAAGCACTCCTGGACCTTCCCAAAGGCATGGTTTGTGGGGCATGGTCAGGAGGAAACAGTGGTTGGTTCACGCCTTTCAGAGCTCACAAAGAGGAAGGAGCAGGGGTGTTTGATGCAGGAGGTTTTGTCTTCTCCCCTGTCCCTCAGATTACATGTGCCCATACAAGCAGGAGGTGATGTAAGAGAAAACCCTGGATTTACCCGTCTCTCTGAGAATACTTAGTTAGATACATCATGTTACAGCCCTGCACACAAGAGCGCATTGTATTTTTTTAAATGGGGGAGACAGGGAACGATCTCTCAGTGCAAGTTTCAAAACAAGTTGGAAAATAATGTATTCAATGTTATACTTATTATACATAAGTATGTATATACATGTGTGTCTGTGTGTTATGTATGTGCGTGTGCCTCACCGCCCATCTGTTCTAGAGGCTTAGAAATTATCTCAAAGCCTGCGTTCCAAGCAGTGATTCTTCTGGGAAGCAGGGAGGGTAGAGGGACAGGCTTATTTTGTTTTCTTTATTTCATATACTTTAAATGGTTGAATTGGTTACAACTAAACATAAAATAGAAAAAAAGTGGAGGAATTTTCAAAACAGATTTTTTCATGATTCTTGGAGACACAGGAAAGGGCTGGAAATTGGGCCCTGGTGGGCTGAGTGAACCCTGGAGGCATCCTGCTCACCTTCGCCTGGGGTCCTTCCACCAGCCACTCTGCCCTCTCTCCCCGTTCCCTGCCTTTCACATTCTGGATTTTACCACTTGTCTTTCTTTTTCATTTCTTTCTTTTTTTTTTTTTTTTTTTTTTTTGAGACAAGGTCTGGCTCTGTTGCTGAGGCTGGAGTGCAGTGGCACTATCACAGCTCACTGCAGCCTCAACTTCCTGGCCTCTAGGTGATCCTCCTACCTAAGTCTCCCAAGTAGCTGGGACTACAGGCATGCACCACTACGCCCGGCTAGTTCTATTTTTTGTAGAGACGGGGTCTCACCATGTTGCCCAGGCTGTTTGCTTTCCGATTTATCGTTTATGGTTTTCTGTCCATTTTCTTTGTTACCATCTCAAAACAGTCTGAAAGAGGAGGCAGATGTTCACAGTTCACTCCTCTTCGCCCTGTCTGAACTTCTGTGTACTCCTGTCTGAGAAGGGTTGAGTAATTTGATTAGCAAATAAGGTAGGCCCTTGCAGATGCTGAGCAGATTATCGTTTTCACCTGCACGCCGTCTGAGACTATGAACCGGTTTGTTCATTCTCAGTGTAGATACTGTTTTTACAGCTTATCAACAGGTGTTTAATTAAAAGGTCAGCTGTGTTCACTTTCTACAATCAATTTAATGTCACCGTGAAGATTCTAATTGATTTTTTTTTTAAGAGACAGGATCTTGCTCTGTCACCCAGGCTAGAGTGCAGTGGTGTGATCACGGCTCACTGCAGCCTTGAATCCTGGGCTCAAGTTATCCTCCTGCCTCAGCCTTCTGAGAAGCTGAGACTACAGGCTCACACTACCGTACCTGGCCAACGTTAATTTTTATATCATTGATTATATTATTTTCCTGAGTAAGATGAGGAGCATGCACATTTTCCACTGGGGAGCTGATCTGAACAGATTTTTAACTCCTCATACATTCTTCTTCTGACTCCGACCTCCCTACTCCATGTGGATGATGGCAAGTAAATGCCACCCACCACATTAAAGTGACATCTATATAGAACTGGCATTTACTATGCTGTGCCTTACTGGAAAGGGATGTTGCTTCATTGTTTCATGTTTACGAATTACTTGATTATGAATGAGCTTGATTGGCTTTTCATCTTGTTGTTTCCTTATATTTTCTGTTTTTTAGAATTGTTCCTTAGTTGTTGTGCCTACCTTATAGGCTGAACCGTATGAAATTGCCATTTTTGTGGGTCAGAATGATGGCCTAATATTGGTGGTTTTATGTGGTTTATCTGAATATCTTTAGGGCCTTAATGTTTTTTATATTTTAGTAACATTTTCTAGTTACTAAAGTGTTCTACTTGTTCTAAAATTTTTGAGAGATATAAAAATATACAACATAGGAAATATAAATGTGTAATACCATTAAAGCATTTCTTATGTTTATTTATTTATTTTTTGAGATGGCGTCTCGCTCTGTTGCCCGGGCTGGAGTGCAGTGGTGTGATCTTGGCTCACTGCAAGCTCCGCCTCCTGGGTTCACGCCATTCTCCTGCCTCAGCCTCCTGAGTAGCTGGGACTACAGGCGCCTGCCACCACGCCCAGCTAATTTTTTTTTGTATTTTTAGTAGAGACGAGGTTTCACCATGTTGGCCAGGATGGTCTTGATCTCCTGACCTCGTGATCCACCTGCCTCAGCCTCCCAAAGTGCTGGGATTACAGACGTGAGCTACCGCGCCCGGGCCAGTGAAAGCATTTCTTACCATTTTGGTGTATTTGTTTCTTTTTTCCCCTTTTTTAAAATATATTTTCCTCCAGAAAGTTGCAGAAACTTCTTGGTAGAATTGTTATAAGGCATAAATGGATTATTATATGTAAAGTGACCAGTAAGTGTATTAGTTATTATTATAAAGTTTTTATTCTTCTACACTGCCCATGCTATTAAATATTTTTCAGAAATGTGATTTTCGGCTGGGTGCAGTGGCTTACACTTTGTAATCCCAGCACTTTGGGAGGCCACAGCAAGGGATCACTTGAGTCCAGGAGTTTGAGACCAGCCTGGGTAACATAGTGAGACTCCCATCGTGGTAAAAAAAAAATTTAAATAAATTAGCTGGGCATGGTGGTATGCATCCATAGTCCCAGCTACTTGAGAGGCTGAGGCAAAAGGATCTCTTGGGCCCAGGAGTTCAAGGTTACAGTGAGCTATGATTGTGCCACTGCACTCCAGGCTTGGGTGACAGTGTGAGACCCTGTCTCTAAACAATCAAAAATAAATAAATGTGAATTTCAAGACTGTTTAATATTCTGTCATATAAATACACAATACTTTGACAAACTATTCTTCTGTTGGATATTTTAGGTTATTTTCTTTCCTGTTCTTATATAAATAATATTCTGATGAACTCACATTTTTGTCTGTAGCTCTATTTTCTTAAATATAAGGAATTTCATGTAAGTGAGACACTCGGACAGTTAATATTTTAAGTATTCTTCATATACAGACAAAGTACCCCCCAGAAATGTTTGCCCATTCCTTCCTCCAGCAGTGGGCGAGATCCCTGCTTACAATAGGCATCCAGGATTTTTAGTCTTGGTAATTTGACAGTTACAAATAGCATATCTCGGTTTTAATTTGAGCATTTTTAGATGGTTATTAATTATATATATTTCTTTTGTGATTTATTAACATCCTCTGTATATTTTTATTAGAGTTTCTTTTTTTTCCTTATTGTAAGCACTTTTATTTAGTACAATTTAGTAAAATTTTTACTGCCTTTTTACTACAAGAAAGAAAACCTTGTAAGGAAAAAAACTACATTTGTACATGTATACAGAAAAATTAATCTGGGCTGCATGTGGTGACTCACACCTGTAATCCCAGCACTTTGGGAGGCCAAGGCAGGTGACACTTGAGGTCAAGAGTTCAAGACCAACCTGTCCAACATGGTGAAACCTCGTCTTTGGTAAAAATACAAAAATTAGCCAGGAGTGGTGGCATGCACCTGTAGTCCCAGCTACTTGTGAGGCTGTGGCAGGAGAACCACTTCAACCCAGGAGGCAGAGGTTGCAGTGAGCTGAGATTGTGCCACTGCACTCCAGCCTGGGCAATAGAGCAAGACCCTGTCTCCCCCCGACAAAAAAATTAGATTGTATGCTGGTCAAAATATTAATAGTAGTGTTTTTATATGGTAGTGGAACTTTTGATGGTTTTAGTTTTCTTTATACTACATATCTCTACTTTCTAATTATTCTATAATAGTTTCCTTTTTGAGATAGGGTTTCGCTCTGCTGCCCAGGCTGGAGAACAGTGGCACTGTCACAGTCCACTGCACCCTTGAACTCCTGGGTTCAAGCAGTCCTCCCGCCTTTGTCTCCCAAAGTGTTGGGATTACAAGCGTGAGTCACCATACCTGGCCTAATGGATATTTTTCATACAACAAAGAAATTCTAGTTCCTGTGACTGATGACTGAAGGACTATTTATCCTCACTCCCTGTTAACCTGCTCTGGCCTCTCCTGCAAGGGTGGAGCTCAGTCCTCCCACTGTGCTTGGCCCTGCAAGGGTCCCTGGTGGCTTCCCCACATGCCAGCTCCTACCCCTGCCTGGACCACGTAGCTCGGCACTCACCGGCAGTGTGGGAATGGGAGAGGAGGCGGGAAAGTGTCCTGATGTTTTCTTCTTCCCTTGCACACTGCCAGCTTGCTATGGGATGGATGAAGAAGAGAACCACTATGTCTCGCAGCTCAGGGAAGTCTATAGCAGCTGTGACACCACAGGGACCGGCTTTCTGGACCGCCAGGAGCTGACCCAGCTCTGCCTTAAGCTTCACCTGGAGCAGCAGCTGCCTGTCCTACTGCAGACGCTTCTCGGAAACGACCATTTCGCCAGGGTGAGTGTCGGACTTCATTGTCATAAAGGAAAGCACAGGGGTCTGTAGTTGGCTCCTATGGGCATTTGGTAAGTATCAGCTGAATAAGGATACAAGTGTCAAAGGAAAGTTATTAGCAAATGGAACAGTGTCCTAGTTTTTCCCTCTATGGAAATTCTACATTGTAGAAAGTGGTTCTTAAAATTACTTGTTTTTAATGTGGTAACTTCCAGAGGTTTGGTTTTGTTTTTCCAGAAAGATATTTTAGTGGTTTGTCACAGGGGCAGAATGGTGAAGGGGTTTGATATGGGCCAGTGGTGTGTGGCTCACAAAGACCACATGGGTTGGGCCTGCTGTAATCACACTGGTAATCAGAGAGAGTATCACAGTCTCTTGAAGGCAGATTGTCTTATACAATTTCACAGTTTGAAGTGCATCTAGGAGTTGGACAAAGCAATTGCAAGCTGCTGTTGAAAGAATGAAGGATACCCATGTCCAAAACTATCCCATAATTTCATCTAGGCCAGATAGAAAATGTGAAATTGGAGGGTTCTTTTCTATCAGAAGGTCAAGATCATCTAGAATGAGGATCTTGGTCCTAGACTGCAGCCTGCTTTCATGATCAAAACGCTGAAAAGCACCTCCCCGTTCCTACTTCTTAAACATGCCTGGATGTTAGTGCTAACAGCAGTGCCTTATCTTGTTGGTCATCTTAACTTTGAAGGAATAATATTTTTTCTACAAGACTCAGTATTTTCTTTTTGTTTGTTTTTTTGAGACAGTCTCACTTTGTCATCCAGGCTGGAGTGTAGTGGAGCCATCTCGGCTCACTGCAGCCTTCACCTCCCAGGCTCCAGTGATCCTCCTGCCTCAGTCCCCCAAGTAGCTGGGACCACAGGCTTGCGCCACCACACCTGGCTAATTTTTATATTTTTTTGTAGAGATGGGGTTTTGCCATGCTACACAAGCTGGTCTCAAACACCTGAGCTCTAGCGATCCACCTGCCTTGGCCTTCCAAAGTGCTATGATTACAAGTGTGAGCCACCACACCCGCCAGTACTTTTATTTTGAATGGGGGAAAAAAAACCAGCCAGTAAATTTTCCTGAAATGGCCCTTGGACCAAAACAAATGAAGAAAAGAACCACTCACTGCTGGCCTAGTAGAGAGTCCGGGTGAATCCGACCTCTTGTGAGTTCCTCAAAGAAGCCTCACCTGCCCTGTCAGCAGGCCACTGTGCCTCCCTCATAGGGAGCTCTCCTCAGGCAAATTCATGTCCTTTCTCTGACTTCGTTTTCTATTCCTGCCTTTTTAAATGCGCTTAAGAAGGCAAATGTGTTATTGATAGATAATGATCTAGCCTCTCTTGATATCACCTGGAAGTGTGTTTGGGAGATAGATGAGCAAAAGGCACACTGGTGAAAAATCAACGCTCTGGTTATTTAAGTAATACAGACAGATGGTCCAGTTTTTATATATATATATATTTTTAATTTGAGTCTGTATCTTGCTGAATTGATATTTTTGAAAAATCAAGAATTTGGAAATCAAACTTTGGAAAATTCAAAACCAAAAGAGTAACTTTTGGGTCCACGTTCAGAGTGCAGGCTCTGCTGATTGAATAAGCCATGTCATTCCCAAGGCTTTCTTCATTTTATATTTATAGGAATGATACAAGACAGAAACATCCAATTATGATAGAATAACCATGATTAGTATTAGAGCATCAGCAAGGAGAAAAATTCGCTTGGGTTATGTGAGATTTCTGACTTGAACCCGGTCTCACGCGTCCTGAAAAGCGGCTCATCTGAGATGGAATTTCCTTGAGGAGGCTTGAGGCTTCTCATATGTTTGTGAGGAGGGGATGAGAAGAAAGTTGGGTACCACAGCAGTGACAGGAGCTGGGCCCTTTCTGACACAGCTCCTCCTGGGACAGCCATGCATGTCCAGCCATCGTCCGTCTCTCTGTCCCAGCTCCATCCCCTCCTACAGCCATAATTTTCTGTTCCCAGAAAGCAAGTCAGATGTTAGATAATTGAGAAGTAACTTTGTTTGCACTAGTGCTCTTGACTGTGCTCTGATGTTATCTTTCTCTTCTCTCTGTAACATTTCGAGAGCACCCTGCCAGCGCTGTAGGTGCCTAGCGCTCACCTCTCCCTGCCTGTCCCTTGATCCTATCTCCTCGGAGATGGTTGGTCATGGTGGACGATTTTTCTTTTCAGGCTCTGCTTGCTTCTCTGCTTCGTCCCACAGACAGGGCAGAGCTCCCACAGCCCCGGTAGGTGGAACATCATACAGAGATTTAAGGGAAGTGGTATCAAGCCAGAAATATCCATATAGGTGTCCCCACTTTTCTACAAGAAACCCAATGGTAGAGATTTCAGGGAGTCTCAAAGAAAACCAAGATAAACTCTTTATCCAGGAGAATGGATTGGCTTTTCAGTTCAAATACTACATATCCAGGTCAAGTGCAGTGGCTCATGCCTGTCGTCCCAGCACTTTGGGAGGCCAAGGTGGGTGGATCATGAGTTCAGGAGTTGGAGACCAGCCTGACCAATGTGGTGAAATCCCGTGTCTACTGAAAATACAAAATTAGCTGGGCGTGGTGATGCACACCTGTAATCCCAGCTACTCAGGAGGCTAAGGCAGGAGAATCGCTTGAACCCGGGAGGTGGAGGTTGCGGTGAACCAGGATCACGCCATTGCACTCCAGCCTGGGCGACAGAGCAAGACTCCATCTCAAAAAGCAAACAAACAAACCAATACTACACATCCAGTCCTTGTAGTAATTAACATATATGATATTATATAAATGTTACTGATACAGAAATCTCATAAAAATGAAACAGGCCAGGTGCGGTGGCTCACACATGTAATCCTAGCACTTTGGGAGGCCAACGTGAGAGGATTGCTTAAGTCTAGGAGTTCAAGATTAGCTTGGGCAACAGAGTGAGACCTCGTCTCTACAGAAAAATCTTAAAGGTAGCTGGGTGTGGTGGCACGCACCTGTAATTCCAGTGACTGTGAGTCTGAGCTGGGAGGATTGCTTGAGCCCAGGAGTTTGAGGCTGTAGTGAGGTGTGATTGTGTCACTGCACTCCAGCCTGGGCAGCAGCATGAGACCCTGTCTCATATATATATATATGTATATATATAATGTCTCATATATATATATGTGTGTATATATATATTCAGAGAAAAAAAAAGATGGTCATATCTGTATTGAACAGGTACAAACCTTTTTCTTCTCACTCTTTCCTAAACAATGCAGCCTAACAACTATTTACATAGTATTTACATTGTACTGGCTATTGTAAGTAATCTAGAGCTAATTTAAAATATACAGGAAGATGTGCATAGGTTATATGCAAATACTACATTTTAATCAAGGGACTTGAGCATCTGTGGAGTTTGGTATCTGCCAAGGGTCCTGGAACCAATCCCCCAGGGATACTGAGGGACAATTGTAATTTGAAGATGAAAGTACCTCTAGATCACACATTCCAGCCCCTTTACTTTGTGGTGAATGAGTCTGAGATCATGCGGAGATGGGATGGTGTCTCTTGTTGGTAAAATACTTGAATATATGGGGTTGCTGCTCGCCTTTTGTGAACTGTAAAGAACGACATAAGAAAACAAACAAGTGTGGTCAAGATGGTGTCAGACTGAAGTGACACCAGACTGGGCCATCTGATCCCCCTGCTCTTTGATGGATGGAAGAAAGTCAGCTGGTAATTATTACCAACAACACAAAAGAATCTGTGATTAGAACGAGCAAAATTGCAATTTCATTATTTGTCTAGTATTTGACAGCTATTATTGGGGGACTTCCTATGTGCTAGGCAACACCAGATGCTAAGGATGCAAGGAGGAAAGACCCCCAGTTTCTGTCTTCCTGTGAAAGACATGCATTTAAGGGATGCATTCTGGCATTCTTTCAGACAGGAAAAGTTTGGAAACAGCTTTTTCAGTATGGGATCATTTACATAATCCTGGTAGCTTCATTTGTTGAAATCTTTTGCAGCCCTAAAAAAAGGAAGAAGTAGTTCAGATGTTCTGATAGTGGCAAGTGAGCTAACTCAGGCCAAGCTTTCAAGGAGGACTACTAGAAAAACTGAACAAAATAATAAAAACAAATATTTTGAAAACAGTAAAGAGCAAATAAATTAGTGGGAAATTGCCAGTCAAAAAATCTGTGATAGGCTGGGCATGGTGGCTCAGGTCTATAATCCCAGTACTTTGGCAGGCCAAGGCAGGAGAATCACTTGAGCTCAGGAGTTCAAGACCAGTCTGGCCAACATGGCCAGACTTTGTCTCTACTAAAAATAAAAAATAATTAGCTGGGGGGCGGGGTGGTACACACATGTAGACCCAGCTACTCAGGCGGCCAAGGTGGAAGATCACTTGAGCTTGGGAGACTGAGGCTACAGTGAGCTATGATCGTGCCCGTTGCCCTCCAGCTTGGTGATAGAGTGAGATCTTGTTTCAGAAACAAACAAAAAAAAAGTGTAGTAAATTAAGTACCCAGAAAGGTAAAGTTAGCACACAAAAGCCCATTTTCCTTGAGAATATTTTGTGATTTTAAGTAAGCAACTGAGAAATTGATCTGTGGCTTTGAGGACCTCAAAGGGCCCCAGAAACATATGTCAAAACCTGGACTCATTTAAGGTAGAAACCCAGGGTTGGCAAACCAACCCCAAATTTAAGGAAGAATCCTGAAGGGTAAGACCTGTATGGTAAAGACGAATTGCAGTCAGTCATTATACTGCTTTGTGGTCTGATCTTATATCACAGTACACTAGATAATCTCAAATCCTGCACTTAGATTACTGGCACTGCATGGATAGGCACCTAGCCAAAGCAAACAATAAAAGTGCCATCATCCCAAATCTGAAATTATTCCTAAATAATAGCCAAATACAATGACCAGCATACAGTAAAGGATAACTGGGCAAAGAAACAAGACAGGATGAGCAAGAACCAGCAGAAACAACTGACAATGGAAGCAGACCCACAAAAATGTGAGATATTAGAATTGTTGGACACAAAATATAAAACAACTATGGTTACTATATTAGAGATTTTTTTAAAGCTTAAAAAATATCTATAAGAACTCTAAAAAGTGAAGTAACAGATCTGAACAATGAACCAAATAAAATGTCTAGAATTGAAAAGTATGATCACCAAAATTTAAATAGAAGCATTTAAGAGCAGATTAGACACAGCTGAAGAAACCATTCATTAACTGGAGTCGTCCAGAATGCAGCATGAAGATATAAAAAGAGGTGGTACAGATGGCGTGAGAAAGTCCAGCATCTCTTTAACTGGAGTCCCGGGAGGAAACAAGTGAATGCTGGAGGGGCATTATGTGAAGAAGTAATAGCTAAAACATTTTCAGGACAGATGAAACATACTTCTTGGGATTCCAAAAGCCTGTGAAATTCCAAGCAGGATAAAGAGACATCTATATCTGGCTTACTATGTGAAACTGAAGGAAAACAAAGCCAGAGAGAATATCTTAAAAACAGCCAGAAGTGGGTACACAGGATCTCTTTGCATTTTTCTTACAACCGCATATGGGTCTATAATGATCTCAAGATGAAAAGTTTAATAATTTTAAAAGGGAAACTAGAGAAAAGACATATCCTAAAAGTGAGCCATAGTTAGATTGACCATTGCTTTCTCTAATGTAACAGTAGAAGTCAGAAGACAGTGGAAAGATATCTCCAATATGCTAGAAGAAAATAACTGCCAACCTGAATTTCATACCGAGTAAAAATAACCTTTAAGAATAAAGGTGAAAGAATGCCTCTGTGAGAAGGAGAGTTCTGCTTAGTAGTGAAAGGATATAGAGGCAAAGACACCCAATAAATATTTGTTGAGTCTCTACTATATGCTACTAAAGTGAGCTCACATTTTAACTGGGGGGCAGAAAATAAACAAATGCATGTATAATTTAATTCAGATAGTAATACATGTGTGTCCCAGGCAGAGGTGTCTGCAAAGAAACAGCCACATTTTGCATTCAATGGCAGCAACAGAGATGTGCTCGTGCAAATTCTTGGCCAGATTGTGGAATCCTACTTGGACCTATGGCCCCAAACCTTCTTCTCCAACACTTAATGGTGATATTTTGACCAACCTAATAGCCCTTCTGTTGATTTCTTTCTGTGTGACTTTCACTGAAGTGTACCTACAGAAAAGAGCATGTTTCCAAGTGTACAAGGTCAGTGAATATTCCAAACTGAGTGCACCTTTGTAACCATCACACCCTTATCCCTCATCATGTCTTTTTGGTTCCTCTGCTACCAAAGGTTAACCACTGTCTGGACGCCAACACCATAGATTTTTTTTTTTGCCTGTTTCTGAATTTTATATAAATTCTGTATTTTAATACAGCACATACTCAATACATACTCTCTGACTTTTTTTTTCTTTTTTTTTTCTTTTTTTGAGACAAGGTCTCACTTTGTCACCCAGGTGTGATCTTGGCTCACTGTAGCCTTGACCTCCAGGGCTCAAGCAATCCTCCTGCCTCAGCCCCCCAGGTAGCTGGCTCTACAGGCACGCGCCACCATGCCTGGCTAATTATTGTGTTTTTTTGTAGAGATGAGGTTTCACTATGTTGCCCAGGCTGGTCTCCAACTCCTGAGCTCAAGCAATCACCCTGCCTCTGCCTCCCAAGGTGCTGGGATTACAGGCATGAGCCGCCACACCCGGCCATTCTCTGACTTCTTTACTCAATAGTATGTCTCTGAGATACATTCATGTTACTGTGTCTATTAGTGGTTTGTTCTTTTTCATTGTCATGTATTTCATTGTATGACTATGCCTGTATCAATTTGTTTATGCATTCTGTTTGAATGAACAGCAGAGTCATTTCCACTATTCTAAAAGGATAATTTATAAGTTATAAATGATTTCTTTGTTAAAAAAAGAATTAATGTAAAATAAAAACATGTTAGACAAAAAAATTGGCACTGGCATATTCAAGAAAAACAAAGTTCTAAAGGATGTATTTTAAATAGTTGGAAAATTATTCCAGATGGAAAGTCAGAAATGCAAGAAGAAAAAGAGAATAAGTATGTGGATAATTCTAAATGAACATTATATAAAACCAAAAATAGTATTTTATGAGGGTTTAAAACATATAGAAATAAAATATGTGATAACAAAGACATTGAAGTCAGGAGTGTGGTAACTGGAGCTAATATATTTCACTGGCTTTATATTGTCATAGAAGAGGGTAAAAGTATTGATTAATAGTCAACTTTGGTAAACTAAGAATGGATGTTGTAATTTTAGGGTAATCAGTAGAAAAGTGGAAATAGGCTATATAACTTTTTTTTTTTTTTTTTTTTTTTTTTTTTGAGACAGTCTCTCTCTGTTGCCCAGGTTGGAGTGCAATGGCGCTATCTCGGCTCACTGCAACCTCTGCCTCCTGGGTTCAAGTGATTCTTCTGCCTCAGCCTCGCAAGTAGCTAGGATTACAGGCACATGCCACCGTGCCCAGCCTAATTTTTGTATTTTTAGTAGAGATGGGGTCTCACCATATTGGCCAGGCTGGTCTTGAACTCCTGACCTCACGTGATCCACCTGCCTTAGCCTCTCAAAGTGCTGGGGTTACATTACAGGCATGAGCCACCATGCCTGGCCATAACATCTAAATTAATAAGAGAAAAGTGAAATCCTGAAATAGTGAATCCAAAGGCAGGGTGGGGGAAGGGAGAGAAAAAGCAAGCAAGTCAAATTGAAAGCAGAAAGCAAAATAGTCCATTTAAATCTAGTAAATCAGTAATCACATTAAATGTAATTAGGTTACATATTTAAGTTGAGGGATAAAGTTTGTCAGATTGGACAAAATCCAACTGTTACCATTCATAAGAGACATATCTAAAACATAAGGATATAAAAAATTGGAATTAAAAGTTCAATAAAAAGATATCATGTAAATACTGATCAAAAGAAAGCTGGGGTAGTGTCTTGATAAAAGAGAAAATGGACTTTATGGTGAAAAGCTTTAGTGAATTAAAGAGTGTGAGCATTTTATTATAGTAAAAGGTTCAGTTCACCAAGGGAATATGCCCTATTGGCACATTCTATGGCCCAGCAATCCCCTCCTCAGGTGGGTACCATAGCAAAGCCTCTGAGGACACAGAGAAGCTAAATGAAACTAAGCTTTAGGCATGCATGCAAATGAGATCTAGAAAAGCAAGGAAGCTGTCACCATAAAAGTCAGGGTAAGGTTCAGGAGATGCAGGGGGAAGGGTCATGGTGGAGAGGCCTTCTGCAGTGCTGGCGGCGTCGGGGACACCATGGGGGCGTTCACCTTATATGTAACGTTTTGTGGTCATCAGATCCCTCTTTCCTAATTATGTTGTTTGATTTACAAAATTGTTGATAGTGTTTATTTGGTGGTAGGATTATGGTCTACTTTTATTTTCCTTATCATGCTCTTCTATTTTTAAAAATCTTAAGTAAATATTTGAAAACATGACTGTTCTCATTCTAAAAGGCAATAATAATATGTTTCTATCTGAGAGAAAATCCAAAAGATTCGCTTATGAAATGTGTGATCTGTTGAAAGTGACATTGTCCTCTCTCACCTTCAATTCACCCAGGTTAACTTTGAGGAATTTAAGGAAGGTTTTGTGGCTGTGTTGTCATCAAATGCTGGTGTTCGCCCCTCAGATGAAGACAGTAGTTCTTTGGAATCAGGTAAGAGGATTTAATCCTATTGGCCATATTTTCTTTTCGTTATTCGTTTGTTAACTTTTGGAGTGTAATATTCTAATGAAAGAATCCGGCAGTTCTGAAAACTGAATTCTACCTTACTTTCTGTCACCCGCAAGGTATATGGACTTGGAAAAAACACTTGATATTTTTTCTTCCTTTGTTTATTTGAGAAATGGTGTCATATAATAATGCACGCTGTGCCCGCCGTGGATGATAACACTGCACTGTGCTGATGTAAGTGATCAGAATCCTGTTACAGGGACAGGGCTGCTGGGACACAGGCTATGTCCCTAAGTGGAAGTGGCATCCTTGGGGAAAGCCACTTGGCCTTGGTTCCAGCCTCAGGGTGCCAGGATGGTAACAGGCTGTGGGCGAGGTCAGAGGGAGGGCTGCCCAGGCCTGGAGTGTTGAGGTCGTGGTGGCCTGCTTCTTGGTTGCAGATGGCCCCATGTTAGGAGGGTGTGAAATGGAGGTGGCTCTTTCCCTTTTGCAGGGGTGTTGTGTTTGTGGTATTGATTAGTGTGTCACAGAGGGAGCGCTTCCCTCGTGTCTCACAGCAGGATGTCCTGGTCAGGAGGGGTGTGCGGCAGTAGATAAGGCTGTCACAGGGTTTGGGGCAGAGGACGGGAAAGCGGAAGGGACCAGGCTCACACAGAGGTTTTCTGTGTGAGCATATGGCATTGAGCTTTGTGTACGTTTACAAAGAGTCCAATTAACCCTCATAGAAATCCTGTGGCATTACTTACCATACCAGTTATTCAGATGAGGAAACTGAGGCCCCAGGTGAGAAGAGAAGTTCGCTTGAGTTCCTTCCTACCCTGAAAATGGATTTTTCTTTTCTACTCCACATGGCCAGGCTGCAAATTTTCCAAATTTTCACACTTTGCTTCCCTTTTAAATATAAATTTTAGTTTCAGATCATCTCTTTGTTCATGAATATAAGCGTATGCTGTTAGAAGTAGCCAGGGCACATCTTCAATGCCTTGCTGCTTAGAAATTTCTTCCATCAGATGCTCTAAATCATTTCTCTCAAGGTCAAAGTTTCACAGATCTCTAGGGCAGAGGCAAAATGCCACTAGGCTCTTTGCTAAAGCATAGCAAGTGTGACCTTTTTCCAGTTCTCAGTATGCTCCTTATCTCCATTTGAGACTGCTGCAGTCAGGACTTCATTGTCCATATCACTATTAGCATTTTGGTCACAACAGTTTAACATGTCTCTAGAAGGTTACAAACTTTCCCACATCTTCCTGTCTTCTTCTAAGCCCTCCAAACTGTCCCGACTTCTGCCTATTATCCAATTCCAAAGCTGCTTCCACATTTTCATGTATCTTTGTAGCAATGCTCCACACCTGGTGCCAACTTTCTGTATTAGTCTGTTTTCACATTGCTATAAGGAACTACCTGAGACTGGGTAATTTGTTTTTAAAGAAGAATTTTAATTGACTCATAGTTCCTCAGACTGTACAGGAGGCCTGGCTGGGGAGGCCTCAGGAAATTCACAATCATGGCAGAAGGTGAAGGGGAAGCAGGCATGTCTTACATGAATGGAGAAGGAGGAAGAGAGCAGGGGAAGGTGCTACACACTTTTAAACAACCAGATCTCATGAGAACTCACTATCATGAGAACAGCAATTGGAAAATCCACCTGCATGATCTAGTCACCTCCCACCAGACCCCTCCTCCAACGCTGACGATTACAATTTGACATGAGATTGGGGTGGGGACACTGAGCCAAACCATATTAACCTCCCATATGCTCAGACCCTTCTGGTGAGAGTATGCTAGGCCAGCCCTTGATGGTGCCTGCTGTCTTGGGGTGATTGTTAATCAGGCCCATGATGACTCTGTCCCAGTGGGGTAAGAGATATTCTGGTCGCCCTGCGTTATTGTCAGCTGCCTGAAATGTCAGCTGACATTTATTGTGTTCAGTCAGGTTACTGAGAGTCAGGTGTATATGTTCTTGGATTTTTGGAGGTTTTATTGCTCCTTTGCATAGATAGCTAGATTTCCTATTAGTTTTTCATTACATAAAAGCAAAATATGCTTGAAAAAGTGTAAATAGCAGATAGAGTTTAGGGGAAAGGCCTCCTCTCCCCACCCTTGCTTTCACAGTCTCCCAACCAAGGCATAGAATTGCCATTGTTCACTGTTTCTTGGGTCTTTCCAGATGCTTCTGTGTGCAGAGCAGTGCGTGTTTGGGAGGCGCACTCGGTGCTGAGTGTGCATCTTCTCAGAGCGTACCTGCTGGCCTGCACGGGCCCATAACTGCTATAAAGGACCCCCACCAAATTTCCTGTTTTCTTTCCAGCTGCCTCCAGTGCCATCCCTCCAAAGTATGTGAATGGATCTAAGTGGTATGGCCGTCGGAGCCGGCCCGAGCTATGTGACACTGCCACAGAAGCCAGACACGTGCCCGAGCAGCAAACCCAGGCCAGCCTGAAAAGTCAGCTCTGGCGCTCAGCATCTCTGGAGAGCGTGGAGGTGGGTCAGGCCCCTCTCCCACCCCAGCTGCCCAGTGTTGGGAATAACAAATGCTTCCTTTCATCCCTGTTTGTAGCACGTGATCACAAGATGTGGGGAGGGCAGGGCACTCTCAGGCACCTTGAGTCACCAGAAGCTTGGTCACTTTGGGGAATGCCATTTCATTTAAATTGGGTCTGGTTGTCTTCAGGACAGTCCTGGTCACAGGATTCTCTCCTGAATTGGTGCAATAGAGAATTTGTTTATCAGTCCTTTGTGTACAATATCTCTTTTTCCCTGATACTACCACTAACTCTAGAAGGCAATGTTTATGGCTTCATGGGAGTGAAGGGTCAACATGCTAAGAGTAGAAAAGGGAAGATGCCTTTTTGAAACAGCCTCGAGGTCAGGAGTGTGAGTGTGTCAGCCCCCAGCCCTGCCTATCTTGAACACTTAGTTATACTGAGGCCCAGCACTTACAACTGGCCTGTGTGAGCCAATGCCTCCTGGGGCCTTGGAAGTTGCCTCCCTGTCCCCCAGGCTCCCTGGGTCATTTGCTGCAGGTGGCTGGTATGCAGGGATCACCCAGTGAAAGGGGGATGGGCCCAGGAGATGGCTGCCAGAGTCTCGTGGGGCTTCATGTTAAGAAATATGTCCATAGGGCAGGTCCACAGCTTGTAAGTTAATCATGGACTGGGTTGAACCATTTTCAACGATTCCAAAAGGTTCCTGGTTCCTGCTCTCTGTACCGTCAGCTTCTGCCAGGTGGGCCTCCATCAGGAGCACCTCCTTCTTAGGTCGGGGCCCCAGTGGACTTGTTTACCATTTGTCTTCACCATTTGTGGAGGCAAAGAGGAAAAACAACCAAATATATTTAAATCTTAGAGTCTCTTTTCTCAGGGGCATGTGACATCTAGGTAAATCCAGAATATTCCTTTTTCGTTCTGTTTTAAAAATTTGGACCTCAGGGATGGAGAGAGAGTGAATCTACTCCTTGTGGTGGATCTTCATTGGTGCCATTCTGCTTCTTAAATCATCTTTGATTCCCAAAACCTGAACACGGGGAAAGCCGCCTTTAGGGTTGTCAGTGCAGTTGAACTCAAAAAATGGGGTTGAGTATTTATCAACAACTCACAGATTCTCCCCAGTCAGAGCCAGTGCCAGCTTTGAAGCATACGGAGTCTTGGTCACCAGGCATCCATTCCACAGTCAGTTGTGGGGACACACAACACCCGGACAAAAGCAGACTTTGACTCTGGTTCGCTGACGCAGTCACTGCAGCATGAGGTTTTTACTTAAGTCGCACGTTTCTTGATGGCCCTGGCTCTTGTCTTGGGTGCAGGTTTGCAAAGGCTGCTGGGATGTGAGGTGATTACCAGGTGCTGTGCTATCCCGAGCCCTTGAAGGGATACAGAAACCTGCTCTCTCACCTTGCGGCTGTTTGCTGAACTGATGTGGTTGATGAGGGAGAGGTGCAGAGAGGCGTGTTGCAAGCCTCATATGGAGAGTGTGTCCCGAGACTGAATGATTGACTGTGGCTGCAGGGCTGGCTTCTTTCACGTGCTGGGTCTGAAGCCATCACCATCATCACCATGCAGAGGCGGACAGGCTTCTCTGCTGCTGGGACACAAGTGTTTGATTGTATTTGCAGGGTCAACTGTTGACGAATGGGTTTATGTTGAGGAGCCCGAGCATGCGGAACAAGGCGTGTCCCCTATCTCCCTGGCCCAGCCCCTCGCTGCTGCTAGGCGGGGCTCACCTGGGGCTGCTAGCTGGCATGCAGGGCAGCCCCAAAGTGGAGGTGGGCTTTTCCTCTGAGGGATCGACTCCATACTCAGCCATCTGCCACTTCCCCAAACATCCTGCTTTATTTGCTCCCGGTGCTCCGTCCCCAGCAGCACCCCCTAGAACTCACAGCCTTCTCTCTGCATCTTTCTGCAGAGTCTCAAGTCAGATGAAGAGGCCGAGAGCACTAAAGAAGCTCAGAATGAATTATTCGAAGCACAAGGTAAAGCCTCAGCCTCGCATTTGGTGCTCTCTGCCTTTGCCCAGAGCTTTGAAAGCTGAAGAGCCAGGTCACTGGGCAGTACACACCACAAGTTTAATTTCCTGGGAAATGCGTGGGGTGGGTTGTGTCCCGCTGGATTCCTCCTTCTCTGGGAGTGGTCAGAATGTCATCATCTCAGCAGTGAGGCCGTCACTCGGTCCTCATCCTCCCAAGGTCAGACCCTGGGGCAGAGACCTGTGGCCGAGGGAGCAGTGTGGTTCGTCACACTTTATGGTCTGCAAGTACCGATGTGACCCTAGCTGGCAGGTATGGCCCTGTGGTTTCAGGCAGGAGGGCCTTGCTTGGCACCATCACCTCAGACTGCCCCTACACCTCCTTTCTGGCACACTGGGCTAGGTACAGCCTCTCCCCTGCTGTGCAGGGGCATTCTTAGCACCCACCAGGGTTTCATCTGTCCCACAAATGGAGTGTAATACCTGGTCCTGGAGCTTAGAGCCTTACGTAGCAGAAGGCCAGCAGTTGGGACACAGAAGCAAATCACAGGGTGCAGCCTCACAGCGCTGTGCAGCGTGCAGGGAAGGCTCACCATCCGTGCTGCCGTGGTGCCCTCTGCAAGATCTGACATTTTGGGAAGAGAAGCTACATGCAGGGGCATGATCGAGACTTCAGCTCCCTCACCACGTTTCTGGACTGACATGCATTACATGTGTTGTGGGGACAGAAAGCTAGACAAAAAAACTTCCCAGGCCGGGCGCGGTGGCTCAAGCCTGTAATCCCAGCACTTTGGGAGGCCGAGACGGGCGGATCACGAGGTCAGGAGATCGAGACCATCCTGGCTAACACGGTGAAACCCCGTCTCTACTGAAAAATACAAAAAACTAACCGGGCGAAGTGGCAGGTGCCTGTAGTCCCAGCTACTCGGGAGGCTGAGGCAGGAGAATGACGTGAACCCGAGAGGAGGAGCTTGCAGTGAGCTGAGATCCGGCCACTGCACTCCAGCCTGGGTGACAGAGCAAGACTCCGTCTCAAAAAAAAAAAAAAAAAAAAACACCAAAAAAAACTTCCCAGTGGATCCCCCTGGGGAGAGGTCAAAGGCTCTGGGAGAGAAGGACTTCTTTTTAATTTTAATTATCTTGTGCTTGCCTATAATACTTCCTTGACATTAAAAAGCGAACAAAAATATTAATTGTGAATCCCAGAGTATTTTGGATAGAAAAGACCAACACCTATGCAAACAATGCAAAAACAGAAGACTCTGTAGAAGTGACTGCTGACTTACCTGATGCCTGCAGGAGTGAAGAAAGGGGCCCCACAGAGAGGTGGGTGTGAGAGGATCAGCGTGGTGGCCAGACGCTGAGCTCTGAGGAACTACCCAGGTGTGAAGCCAGCAACCTGGCTAACCCTTGCAGCAGGCTTGGCATAATCTGAGCATCCCTCCTCTCAGAGCAGCTTGGGGCTCAGGGGTGACGTCTTGCTGAGCTTGGGAACAAGAGCTGAGGTTCCCACCAGGCCCTCATGATCACAGCACAAGCTTTTACATCGCTGCTGCAGGCTTCTCCGAGGAGCAGGGCTGCAGTGCTCAAGGAAGGATTGGAGAAGTTGAGAGACTTAGGATGGACTCCATTGCATCTAGGGCCTCTGTTGGGACACTTGAAGGCTGGGTCTGAAATCATATGAAGTGTCACTGATGGGTCTGGGTTGGAGGAGCTCAGCTGAGGACAGCCTCAGAGGGGTTGCAGCAGGCCTCAGCATGGCTGGGCTTCCTTACAGCATGGTGGCTCTGGGTAGTCAACTGCCTCACCTGGTGGCTCAGGGCCCTAAGGACACGTTGTCCCAAAAACAGGGCTGGGATTTCCTCACTGAGTTCAGGCCAGCCTCAAAGTCACAAAGCATCCCTTCCACCACGTTCTATTGATCAAAGCTGTCACAAGGCTACCAGATTCAAGGAGAAGGGACACAGACCTGAAGCGAAGAGTGCTCAAGAAATTGGAAGCCGCATTTCCAAACTGCCTCACATGGGCAGGCTGAAAGCAAGAAGGAAGGCAAAGAGGGGAGAAGTTAGAACAGGGGTGTCATGTGCTTCAGGAAACAGGAAGGCTGGAGGCATTGATGGATGTGTAGGGAGCAAACTGCAGGATCCTTAGCAGCCAGGCATGTAAGGTGCAGGTATAGGGGAGTGCAGGAGGCTGCCATGGCCTTTGAGGAGGCAGTGATGAGAGGAGCTAGTATTTCAGGTTGCAGGGATGCAGGTGACTGGGGAGGAGAGGCTGGAGCCCGGCTGAACGCTGAGAGCCCTCTTCAGGCTGCCAGCGCCCCCCGTCTCCCCCTGTTGCAGAAGGATCAGGGTGGCAGCATTGGGTGTGTCCCCTTGCAGGAGGCATGAGGCCATCCCAGGAAGTCATCAGGCTGCAGGCTGCACTGGATCCCACCGGTGAGGCGTGGGCAGGGTCAGTGGCTCCCAGTCAGTGCCGTGTACCCCAGGAACCCCCAACCCCAGATAGGGTGCCCCGCCATTCTCTTTGCCCTGGGCTGGGCTGCAGGCCAGGCAGGCCGCTGACCATGCAGGGCAGGGAGTAGCACTGGTCTGTGTTCCTTAGTCCTGTGAGCAGTTTCACTGTCTTTCCAGGCTTTTCCATGTGAGTCAGTGGATGCCCTAATGAGGCCTCCCCACACAGGTGGTCACATGGGCTGACTGTGCAGAAACATAGCTTCGATAGAGGGCATTGCCCTGGGATTTCTGCCAAAGTAAACAGTTAGCACCCCTTGGACCATGGTCCTTGAATGCCTGGGCCATTTTTTGTTCAACTTTTTTTTTCTTTTTTTTGAGGCGGAGTCTTACTCTGTCGCCCAGGCTGGAGTGCAGTGGCGTGATCTCAGCTCACTGCAAGCTCCGCCTCCCGGGTTCACGTCATTCTCCTGCCTCAGCCTCCCGAGTAGCTGGGACTACAGGTGCCCGCCACCATGCCCGACTAATTTTTTGTATTTTTAGTAAAGACGGTTTCACCGTGTTAGCCAGGATAGTCTTGATCTCCTGACCTTGTGATCCGCCCGCCTCAGCCTCCCAAAGTGCAGGGATTACAGGCGTGAGCCACCGTACCCGGCCTTTGTTCAACTTTTATCTCAGTAAATGTCAGGGGAACTGACCTGAGCTTCTAGCTGTAGTGCTGGACAAAGCAGGCAGACTCCTGTGTGCTGAGAAAAGTCAGCCAAGCCGCCGTGTCTTCCATCCTTGACTTGATGTCTAGATCTAGGGCAGCGAAGGGAAGGGCTCGCAGGGGGAGGCTGTTTTTCACCCAGTGATTTCAGTGCTCAGCCTGGAGAGCAGGTTGGGGTTCCTCCCAGCAGTTTACAGAAAGCTTTGTGCAGGATCAGAGCTGACAGACGGTAGTGCGCACACACTCGTGTCAAGCTCAGAGGACTTGCCCGACCTCTTCTGCCAGCCTGAGAAATAACCCAGTATCAGGATTACTTTCACATTTTTTCCTTGGAGATTTCAGGCACCTTAGGCTGGAAGGGACCTCGGAGGTGGCCTTTTCTTACCCGTCCCTTTCCTCTTGTTTTCCTCAACCCAACCCACAGTGTCATTTGTGAGCACACAGTCTGCCTTCCTTTGGGGGATGGTGGCTTTCCTATTACCAGCGGGATTATCAGTCATTCATGCCCACATGGCTCATCTACCTGAAAGATCCAGACCACTGAAGCAGAACTGCAACACTAAAGTCTGTGTTGGGTGGAAGCAGACATGTCCGCTCTGGGCTAGGTGGTGTGGACGAGGCATGGAGGAACATGTCTGGCTGGACACATAGGTCACCATAGGAACACGTCTGGCTGGACAGCTGGCTCACCACAGACACTTTCTCTTGGACACCCAGTGTCTGTCCTCATTCTCAAGCTGTTTCCACAGCTTCAAACACATCAAGAAGACAAGCGACTGAAGACAAAGGTTAGGAAAAGTGGCCTTCCACCACCCGAGCCCACTGATGAGTCCTAAACACACCAGTGCCTCCTGAGTGAGGCACGGAGGACACAGTGCCACCTGCAAAGCATTTATGACAAACAAACAAATGAACTTGAGCCTGCAGCCAAACTAGACTTTGATGCTAACTGAGGTTTTCAGGAAATGTTAAGGATGGAGGAGCTTGTTAGACGACAACACGGGGAAGCAGGCAGATAGATCCGGATATGGAACATTCCACAGAACAGTGGGTCTGATTTCTTTAAAAAGGCATGGGCTGTGGGGATTTGGGAGAGGTGCTTGTGACTGAAAGATGTGAGAGGAATAACAGCCAAGGGCACCCTGAGGAGTTTGGATGCTGGTTCAAACATATCAACTGTAAGAATATATTTTCGAGACGCTTGGGAAAATCCTGTTGATTTTGTTAGGTGTGATAGTGGCATTGTGGTGATGTAAGAATATATATATTTTTTCTAGAGATATGGATCAAATATGTGGAGAAGTAACATAAGATCTGTGATTTCAAATAACCGAGATGGATCCTGACTCATGGTGTTTTGACTCAACGATTTTTCAACTTTGTGATGGTGTGAGGCCGATATGCATTCAGTAGAAGCCGTCCTTCAGTGTCCATGCGACCGTTCTGATCTTCACTTTCAGTACAGTGTTCAGTAGATTACATGAGACATTGAACATATTAGTCTAAAATAGGCTTTGTGTTAGAGGATTTTGCCTCACTGTCGGTTAGTGTGTTCTGAGATGTGTAAGGTAGGCCAGGCCCAGCTACGATGTCAGTGGGTTAGGTATATTCAGTACATCTTTGACTTGACGTTTTCAGCTTATTGTGGGGTTGTTGGGCTGTAGCTCCATCGTAAGTCAGGGAGCATCTGTACTTCTAAATACTTCAGCCGTAAGGAAAGTGGGTAGAGAAGAAACCTGTGGCAGGGTGCTGTCATAGTGGAGCCTGAGTAGCAGGTGCTCTGGGCTTCACTTTACTCTTTGCTCTGTGTAAGTTAGAAAGTTTTCAAAAATTAACTTATTAAAAGACTCGTCTTTTTATTGTAAATACAAATAATAGAGTCCTCTCCTTCTTTTTTTTTTTTTTTTTTTTTTGAGATGGAGTCTTTTTCTGTAGCCCAGGCTGGAGTGTAGTGGTGCAATCTCGGCTCACTGCAGTGTCCACCTCCTGGGTTCAAGCAGTTCTCTGCCTCAGCCTCCCGAGTAGCTGGGATTATAGGCGGCCGCCATCACACCCAGCTAATTTTTGTATTTTTAGTAGAGACGGGGTTTCACCGTCTTGGCCAGGCTGATCTTGAACTCCTGACCTCGTGATCTACCCGCCTCGGTCTCCCAAAGTGCTGGGATTACAGGTGTGAGCCAGCGTGCCCAGCCCCTCTGCCTCTTTTAAATGCTCACACGGCTGACCATAGAAGGTTCTCTTCAGAATATGGCCGGGCGCGGTGGCTCAAGCCTGTAATCCCAGCACTTTGGGAGGCCGAGATGGGCGGATCACGAGGTCAGGAGATCGTGATCTACCCGCCTCGGTCTCCCAAAGTGCTTACTAAAAAATACAAAAAACTAGCTGGGCGAGGTGGCGGGCGCCTGTAGTCCCAGCTACTCGGGAGGCTGAGGCAGGAGAATGGCGTGAACCCGGGAGGCGGAGCTTGCAGTGAGCTGAGATCCAGCCACTGCACTCCAGCCTGGGCAACAGAGCGAGACTCCGTCTCAAAAAAAAACAAAAAAAAAAAAGAAGGTTCTCTTCAGAAAGAATTTCCCCATCAGAGGCAGATATTTTCCCCCAACATTTATTTTGAAAATTTGTAAACAGAGTGAAGTGCAAACAACTGTGTCATAAAAACCCATGTACCAACCACCTAATTCTACCTTTGGTGCTTTGCAGCTCCCCTTTGTCGGTCTGTCCATCCCTCTGTCCGTCCATCCATCCCTCTGTTGGTCCGTCCATCCAGCCCTCTATCTATCGGTCCATCTGATTTCAGAGTCACTGACCAGCATTGCTGTGCGTCCCCCGCATGCTTCAGCCTGGAGCACAGGACTTAACTGTTGCTGGTTTTTCTCCCCAGCCTTATTGGGGTGTGATTGACAAATAAAAATTGTATATATTTTAGGTGTACAGTGATGATCTGAGACATGTGTACATTGTGAAATGATGACCACAGTCCAGCCAGTTAACACATCCATCTCACTTAGTTATGTGTGTGTGCTGAGAACACTTGAGATAGACTCTCTTAGCAAACTTCGAGGAAGCAGTCGGGTCTTATTAACTGTAGTCACCGTGCTGTACATTGGGGCTCCAGAAATTACTCATCTTATAACTGAAAGTGACCCCCCTCCACCAGCATCTCCCCCACCACCCAGCTCTGTAACCACCCTTCTACACCCTGCTCCCGTGAGTTCCTCTTTCCTTAGATCCCACATGTGAGTGAGATCTCATGGTGTTTGTCTTTCTGTGTCTGCTTATTTCACCTAGTGTAATGTCTTCCACATTCGTCCATGCTGTTGGAAAGGGCAGAACGTCCTTCTTTTTAAGGCTGAGTTGTGCTCCATTGTGTATGTATCAGAGTCTAACTGTGACTCCCCGCTTGCTTCAGGACAGATGCAGACCTGGGATACCGAGGACTTTGGGAGCCCTCAGAAGTCCTGCAGCCCCTCCTTTGACACCCCAGAGAGCCAAATCCGGGGCATGTGGGAAGAGCTGGGGGTGGGCAGCCGCGGGCACCTGAGCGAGCAGGAGCTGGCTGTGGTCTGCCAGAGCGTCGGGCTCCGGGGACTCGAGAAAGAGGTGAGGGCACAGCAGGCCACCCAGCCACATGTTCCTGGCCATGGTCATGGTTTAGTGTTGGGTCTGGAAACCCCTCTACCCTTCAGCCACTCATTTAGGTGCATCACTTTCTAATCTAAAATCCTTTGGTGGCTCTTGGCGTTTCTGCCAAAAGCTAAAAACTCCAGACACCTTTGAAAGCCCATCTCTGATGGAGTTGCCCAGTCCCACCAACTCCCTGCCACGCTCAGGTGTAGCAGGCACTTCCCGTTCCTTCACTCACATCCTTCCTCTGCCTGGATGCCTTTCCCTCTTCTCTGTGTGACCAGGTTCCACTGCACAGCCAAGACAAGACCCCCAAGCCTGTCTGCATTCCCCAGTGGCCATGTTCCTTCTCCTCCTGGGTGGGAGGCCAGTCTGCCTTGCTGGAGTTCTTCTCAGCCCTGTGTCCTTGCTGGGCCTCACACTGCAGGACCTGGCCTTGCTCAGCATCCCGCAGGCTCCAGCCCCAGCAGACACTGAATAAGCATTTGTAGAACTGAGAAGTTCAAGTGACACCCACTCACAGTGAAATGGAAACCAAGGCCTGTGGGTTTTGCAAGATAGAGGGAGGGGGTGCCTTGGGAAAATACAGCCCTCATGGTCTACACAGTTTTAAGGCTGGATAAGACAAGGAAACGGCCCTTGTGGGGTACCTGGAACCAGAGGGAGGGAGGGAGGGAGGCCCCGGTGAGGGCAGCTGGGTGGAGCTCTTATGGGTGGGCCTGAGGTATGAGGACTTTTGTTTAGGAACTTGAAGACCTGTTTAACAAACTGGATCAAGACGGAGACGGCAAAGTGAGTCTTGAGGAATTCCAGCTTGGCCTCTTCAGTCACGAGCCCGCGCTACTTCTGGAGTGTTCCACTCAAGTTAAACTGAGCAAGCCTTGGTCTCATTACCAGGTAAAATGCAACAGTTAAATCCTGAACCCAGCAACCACTGATGTCACTCTCTGGTGACTAAAACTGCTGACTCCCTCCCTGCCTGTGTCACCACACAACGAGCTGTCCAAGAACTGGATAGGCCATGCACACACGCATGTATGTGGGAGGCCACACGACGTAGATTCTGGAGCCACATAGATTTGAGGTGGGTCCAGTGTTGTTCTTCCCTGGCTGTGTGTCACTAGGGGAGTTACATTCTCCAAGCCTCAGGCTCACATGTAAGCCGGGGGTGGTTTGGGTGCCCACCTCCCGGGGCTACAGAAGGCAGTGCTTAGGTGAGGAACATGGCTGCTCAGGTGCCCACCTCCCGGGGCTACAGAAGGCAGTGCTTAGGTGAGGAACATGCTGCTCAGGTGCCAACCTCCTGGGGCTACAGAAGGCAGTGCTTAGGTGAGAAATGTGCTGCTCAGGTGCCAACCTCCTGGGGCTACAGAAGGCAGTGCTCAGGTGAGGAACGGGCTGCTCAGGTGCCCACCTCCCGGGGCTACAGAAGGCAGTGCTCAGGTGAGGAATGTGGCAGCTCCTCAGCCTGTGGTGTGATATGCCCCAGCAAGAAAACTCCCTCCCATCCTCCCCATTGTGGAATAGCAAGGGCAATATTTCTGTGTTAGTCTGTTCTCACATTGCTAAAGGAATACTTGAGACTGGGCAATTTATAAAGAAAAGAGGTTTAGTGAGCTCACGGTTCTGCAGGCTGTGCAGGAAGCATGGTGCCAGTGTCTGCTCGGCTGCTTCTGGGGAGGCCTCAGGAAGCTTACAATCATGGCAGAAGGTGAAGGGGTGCAGGCAGGTCACATGGCCAGAGCAGGAGCAAGAAAGCAAGGGGAGAGGTGCCACACACTTTTAAACAACCAGGTCTCATGAGAACTCACTATCACGAGGACAGTACCAAGAAGGATGATGCTAAACCATTTGTGAGAAATCCACCTCCAAGATCCAGTCACTTCCCACCAGGCCCCACCTTCAACATCAGGGATTACATTTTAATATGAGATTTGAGCGGGAACACAGATCTAAGCCATATCAGTTGCCAGAGGATCCAGTGAGTCTGTCTAGGATTGGTCCTGATAGTGTCCCTTAACCCATGCTCTATCTCTTGCACAAATACTGGGTCTCTCTGCAGTTTGAGGAGACCAGGGCATGGCTGCTGAGGGGCTGGATACTTCTTTGCTGCTGCAATTGGTCCTGAATTTGGTGAGTGGTGTTGCAGGACCTGTAGTGCTATTCTGTACCGGGGGTAGGTATGCCTGAGAATCTAGGTTTCTGACTCTAAAGTCAATGAGGGCCGGGCATGGTGGCTCACGTCTGTAATCCCAGCACTTTGGGAGGCCGAGGCGGGCGGATCATTTGAGGTCAGGAGTTTGAGACCAGCCTGGTTAACATGGTGAAACCCTGTCTGTAGTAAAAATACAAAAATTAGCCAGGTGTGGTGGTGCACATGTGCAGTCCTAGCTACTCAGGAGGCTGAGGCAGGAGAATCGCTTGAACCTAGGAGGCAAAAGTTGCAGTGAGCTGAGATCGCATCATTGCACTCCAGCGTAGGCGACAGAGTGAGACTCCATCTCAAATAAATAAATTAATTTATTTTAATTTAATTTAATTTAATTTAAAAACCTAAATAATTTAGAAACTCGGTGAAAAAAAAATCAATGAGGACCCGGCACAGTGGCTCATGCCTATAGTCCCAGCAGTCTGGGAGGCCAAGGCAGGCAGATCACTTGAGCCCAGGAGTTTGAGAGAAGGTGAGACAACATAGTGAGACCCCATCTCAAAGATTTAAAAATTATCTAGGTGTGGTGGCACATGCCTGTGGTCCCAGCTACTTGGGAGGCTGAGAGGAGGATCACTTGAGTCCAGGAGGTCGAGGCTGCAGTGAGGCTAACATCAGTGAGAACGACAAAGAAGAAACTCAGGAGCCAGCACTGAGGAAAGGGGTCAGGCGGCCATGTAAGGCGAGAATGATCAACATGAGGTCCCACAGGTCGTGCTTAGTGTGGGCTGGGGAGATGCCTCCTGAACTGGCTTGCCTTCATTGTGGAACGCCAAGTCAACTTGGCCATGAGCCACCCATACCGCATTCTGAGGGTCTGGGGGGGTGTGCGCCTCTGCCTGGGTCAGCACACTTCTGCCCTTCCAACCTGCCTTGGGTTTCTTTTCACAGCTGAGACTTTCCTGGTGCTGGCATGGACTCTCTGGGCCCCTGCCTCTGTGAGGCCAGGCTCCCACCTCTGTGAATTCAAGGGTGGAACGTCAAAACTCCTTTGTCGTCCCTCTCCAAGTGATGATGAGTGTGCTGACTGGGACTGGCCAGTTGGGCCACGTGGGTGCAAGGCCTCAGAGTCCTGGGTGTCGGGGGCCTTGGTTGCATGTCCCGGCTTTCTCACCTGCACAGCCATGTGACCTTGGAGAGGTCATGTGAAGGGGCTGCACCTCTGACCTGTCCTCTGAGAGCTGAGGATGGTCTCATGAGCTGTTCCTGTGAGGCCCTCTGAGCACAGGCTGGGGAGGATGGAGAGCACATCAGCAGCGCACGGGCGTGAGGCTTTGGACGCTGGGCGCTATGGGAGTCTTCCTGATGTGCAGGTCCCAGAGGAGAGCGGCTGCCACACCACCACGACCTCATCCCTCGTGTCCCTGTGCTCCAGCCTGCGCCTCTTCTCCAGCATTGACGATGGTTCTGGCTTCGCTTTTCCTGATCAGACGTGCTGCTCAGGTGCCAACCTCCTGGGGCTACAGAAGGCAGTGCTTAGGTGAGAAAGGTGCTGCTCAGGTGCCAACCTCCTGGGGCTACAGAAGGCAGTGCTCAGGTGAGGAAC